CATTTCCTTTGTGCTAGAAACGTGTGTTTTTTCTTCAAAATATCGCCTATCTTTTAAGCAGACACTTGTAGTAAATTTGTTTCGAAAACTGATTTTAGCATTAACATGTATGTAGTTTATGCGTTGCACTAGTCACCAATTTTCGTTTAACATATAAACTCGTGGATAAGGATGATCTACGAACGACAAAATGCCGTCAACGAAAATAAACATATTCACAGAACACGTGAGGACATTCTTTTCATTTTACGACGACATTCGTTCTCAAATATTATCACGTTGAATCAAAACATACCATTTCCGATTTCAGCATATTGTGAAAAATGCGGTGCTTTTACTGTTTGAAAAATTAAACCAAATTTTGTGGTGTTATAGATATTGGGAATTAATCATATCAAATTAATTCCGGTTATCTTATGAGGACCGTTCTTCTAGTCGAAAGTCTCAGAATGTGTATAGGAGTTACCTCCCTTGGACCTTTTCGTCTACTTTGCTCCTTGAGAAATCTTCAGCTTTGGAGATAGGAACTAGTAGCCATACATTTAAAGCAAAGGATTAGATTGTTCATAATGTACAGTTTACTTTTCCAAATTTCAACAGCCCTATCTATGACTTCGTCGTGTACGCTTTACACACCGGCGTCAGCAGCCAGGCAGGTTTCCGATATATATTAACATTTAGGAAATACCTTGGAGACATCGCACTTCTATTGGTGCTATATTTATATTTCATGCTAGTTTTGCGGAAAACTGAACTGTATTTGTCAGTTTTAGAAAAACAATCCGGATGTCTTCATTCGGGTAAAAATATACCAATTCGTAAGTTTTGAATTCGACTGACTGATAATTTGTTTTTGATATACATTTTTGTGTGTGTGTACATTAAAGGGCAAATGCCCATATTTATTTATTTGATTTAAAGAAGAGATAAGCTATTCAAAACTTATCTCTGAGTGTCACTTATATAATTACCTAACTGATATGGTTTCAACAGAACCTCTAACATAGACTTAAAATGTTTTTTTTCCGTTTCAGTGCAGACATGTCTTTTATGTATATCAAATCTTACAGTTTGATTTTTTTCTGGAACTGTCTTCAAGATATAATAGTTAAAAAAAACAAGAAGCGAAATATTATATATTTGTGCCGTTTACAAAAACTGTATAGACTCCTTTCCCTTGTGACTGTATTTCAACACGCTTTGCAATACTTAACATTTATTTTCCAATTCGTTTGACCTAACTGTCACTGATAAAAGCGTATGCACGAAATGACAATAACTATGGTACACTATTTTGTTATACTTTGTTTAGCTTCCAGCTCCGACTTTCTTATCGTTAAGTAGATTCCGTGGTGACTTCCCTCATGTCTATTTTCAACATATAGCAATGTGTTTAATAATAAAAATATACTTATTGTACAAAACATGAGAAATAATAAAAACATATAATATATATAACAGGTGTGTCGTAGTAGACTTGATATATAATCATTGGCTCTTGATCCTTGCCATGTTATACGCAAAATACAATATCTGGGACTGTCTGAATGGTAAATATTATACAAGTACAATATCTGGGACTGTCTGAATGGTAAATATTATACAAGTACAATATCTGGGACTGTCTGAATGGTAAATATTATACAAGTACAATATTAAATGCAAGAAAAAATCGAATTGTACGATGCAAATGGGCAACACAACCGTGCTGGCTTTCAGGGACTTTCATGGACGGATTTTATAAAATATATAAAAATATATATACAGTAAATCCTAATTTAGAGATTATCGTTTGTTGTCCATTCTGTCGTCTCTTAAAGTAGGTGAACTCGTAATGCAAGGATTATCAACAAGTTATTAGGTATCTAAAAAAAAAATGAAAGTAAAAATAACCATTTAAGCAGTTAACTGCTTTCAGTTGGCATTCATAAGCAATATGAATTCCAACTCAACATGCAGCGCGCTATGTTGGCTTTGCCTTTGTCCAGTTGTTATTATACCTATGTATGCCCACTGAAAGCAGTTCAATACTTGTAAATACCATTTCTGGAATCTGTTCATCTCATAGACAATCAAATTACACTTATTTTCATTCAGCATTTCGTTCTTATAATGTATGTATCGTGTATGTGTGCTCAATGAATAGAACAGTTNGGGGGGGGGTCAGTGGTATCCAACGTAACAATTATGACGTCATACTAATGATGACCTCAACAATCGGTCCAAGACATTCATAGTCTTTATAAATTTGAATTTGGTAGGATATTTCTAAACATTTTCTTCAGATTGGTAAGTATAAATTATGAAAAGTTATTTTTACACAACCAATAACATTTTCTATGTGACGTTTCGATGACTAGTAAGATACTAGTCATCGAAACGTCACATAGAAAGTTTAATTGGTTGTGTAAAAAGAACATTTCATAATGAATTTGGTAGGATTATATAGTGGTAATGCCATACAATGGTAAATATACAATAATGAAAGGACGGCAATAGATAAATGTAACATAAGAATCATAAAGGTCACATAAATAGAGAAACAATATCACAGATTATAACATAAATTGCATGCAATATGGTATATGGAAAACAGCTCTGATATTGTCTCCCAGTTGTAAGAGAGAAAACCAGGATGATATTGTCTAGCAGTTGTAAGAGAGAATACCAGGATGACATTGTTCAAAGCATGGTAAGCTTAACGAATCGTACAACTTATTTAGAAAATGCGATTTTTGAAAACCATTTTAATATTAAAAATATCGAAACACACAATTTTGATTTTTGAATTTAATAATTTTGAAATATACTTAATAACGTCTACGTTGAGTTTCTGTTAAGCTAATCACACTTTGAACGATTAAGATTGATAACTCATGAGAGTTCATGTAACAAAAGTGCCACCAACGTCATAAGCTCTCACACTTTATGTTGCTTAGATAAATGTTAAATGCATAGTGGGATATGTAATTACAAATTCTGATCACGAATTAGACCAGCACAGGACGTTTGATTGCTTTTCATCTTACATTATGATTCAGGTGTAACTAAATAATTACTTGCTAATAAAATATATTTATACTATGTTGTACTAATTATCAATTGTTGGTTAAAATGCTACTAAAATATATTTATACTATGTTGTACTAATTATCAATTGTTGGTTAAAATGCTACATTAAAGAAAACAAATGTACACTTTGCTTAATTCCTTGTCAAGTGTGTTGGGTTTGACGACCTCTCAACAGTGGAATTTATAGGATGTCTATGACCAGCTAATAATGGTCTGTCAGGGTTTTATGTTAACAGATCCGTCTATGTTACGTTGGTGTCCAACTGGACACATTTTCCTTTGCGTCTGACGTAATCACAACAGCGTAGCTTATATGATGTTGTTGTCAAAGTGGCAAGTATCAGTTTTTGGTTTGATGTAATAGTAACAGTAATGGTCATTTTACGTCAATACTTTCTCTTGAGTTTGATTTAATCGCAACAACGATTCTACAATGACATTGCATGGTGTCCACCTGGCCAAAAAGCTTTTCCTGGTCTGACATTATAGCAAATACCCTGCCATGCCTGAAATTTCTATACATGAAAAGGGCGTTTTAAAACTGCTCCAAGTCCTAAATCCATACAAGGCCTCGGGCCCTGACGACATCAAACCCAGAGTACTAAAAGAGCTTGCAACATAAATAGCCCCGATTTTAACCCTAATATTTAATCAGTCTCTGGAAACAGGCATAGTGCCTTCAGACTGGAAATCTGCAAATGCATCACCTGCTTATAAAAAGGGTCCAAAGTTTCACCCAGAAAACTACAGGCCCATATCTCTGACTTGTATCTGTAGCAAAATTATGGAACACATTGTGGTCTCACCTATCATGACCCATGCCGATACCCATAACATATTGTATCCGTTCCAACATGGTTTTCGCAAATCGCGATCATGCGAAACCCAACTTCTTGAATTTGTGGATGACATCTCAAAGAATCTTGATGAGGGACGCCAAACAGATATCCTCATAATGGACTTTGCTAAGGCTTTCGACAAGGTCAGTCATTCTCTCCTAAACAATAAACTACAACATTATGGTATACGTGAAAAATGTCGCAAACTGGATCGAGAGTTTCCTGACCGGTAGAACTCGGACAGTAGTAGTTGAAGGGGAGAAGTCTGATTTTGTCGATGTCCATTCCGGGGTACCCCAGGGCTCAGTTTTGGGACCCAGTTTATTTCTTTTCTTTATAAACGATATCCCTGTGGGTCTAAATGCTACAATCCGTTTATTTGCAGACGACACTAGTGCATATCTAGTTATCAAGTCAAACAGTGATGCTGAAACACTTCAAAAAGATCTTGACAAACTGGCGCTGTGGGAAAATACATGGAAAATGATTTTCCACCCAAACAAATGCAATGAGTTGTCGGTGACTAAAAACAAAACTCCAATAGTCCATAATTATACTTTACATGGACACATACTGGAACATCTTAGTCAGGCCAAGTATCTGGGCGTAACACTATCATCTGACCTTAAATGGGATTCACATATAAATACTATCTTCCCAAAAGCAAATTCTACGCTAGGCTTTTTAAGACGAAATCTTAAAATTGGCTCAACATCAGCCAAAGTACAGGCATGCAAATCATTAGTTCGACCATCACTTGAGTATGCCTGTACAGTATGGGACCCTCACACCCAAACACATATTGACAAGTTGGAAATGATCCAGCGCCCTCTAGCAGATAGACGTAGAGATGCTCGTCTGACCATGCTTCATAACATTGTAAACCAGAAAGTCGCTATCGTAAAATCAGACAGATCAATCCCTACAATTAGAAAATCCCGAACAAACCACCAGTTTTCGTATCAAATTCCCCACTCAAAAACCCAGACCAGAAAGGCATCATTCTTCTCTCGAACTATACCCGAGTGGAATAAACTCCCACCTGACATTATTTCGAGCCCCACAATGGAATTATTCAAATCAGCCCTCTGACATTTTATCTTCAAATTGTTGAAGTTGGTCAGTACCATTTAGAAGTAGAAGATAATAACGTCGTAGAACGTCAGTGTCCGGCTAGTAATAGTGTGCTTGGAGTTTGTTGAATTCATTAATGAGAAGCGTAACGGTAAACACACATGAATTAGACAGTGTAATGAATGGTTAATTCAGTGAGAGCATATATGTCCGAACATTTGAAAAGGGAAGCGGGCAATACTTCACCATTCCGTTATGGTTGTGTATTCATGTGCCATTTACACTGTCTTCAACTTCTAGTCAACATACCGTGTTTTAACACAGGCACATTTGGTCAGCGGACAAATCACTGTCACCGTACTATTTGTCTGTAAATAAATATATCGCCTGTTGTCCTATTTTTTTCATCTTTTGTACATATTGTCTGCCCTATCGTCGTGTTATAATGTATATAAAGACACCTGTCCTGCCGTCTAGGTGTATTGCACATATCGATATATGTCCCATCGCCGTATTAAATTGTTCTATGCATATGTCTGTCCTATCGCCGTCGTAAATTGTATCTATACATATGCCTGTCCTATCGTCGACGTAAATCGTACATATATATGTCTGTCCTATTACCGTCGTAAATTGTACATATGGTTGTCTGTCCTATCGCCGTCATACATTGTTTTTATAGATGTCTGTCCTTTCGTTCACGTAAATTGTAAATATATATGTCTATCCTATCGTCGACGTAAATTATACATATCAACGTCAGTCCTATCGTCGACGTAAATTGTACATATCGATTTCTCTTCCGTTATCCCGCGAGGATCTGTTATCACCCACTTGGTTGTTTCGTTGACTCGGTGGAGGTCCGTGACTTTTAGAGCAAAACTTTGCGACCAGGATCTGTAATTGTAGAATAAATAGGATTAAACATAATGTATTTCATGAAGACTTATAGTATTCATATATTTTGTCAAAAACATTTTAGTAAATAAGAATATAGTGAATACAATAAAGCCTATTTTATCCAATAAAACATTATATCAAATAACAGAGCAAATCTAATTAACAAAGAGTATCCGTAGAAAACAATCCACCAATAAAAGCATAATGCGTCTTATAGAAATAAAATATATCCAAAATATGTATCGTATAGAAATGCACCCAATACAAATGTATTTCCATAGAAATGCTCATAATAAAAAAATATCCAATAAAAAAAATGCGTTAAAACAAAGTATAATATATCTAAAAATATTTATCAAATATGAATGCTCGCAACAAAAAATTATCCAATAGTGAAAATACCTATGACAAAAGATAATGTAGCTAAAAATCATTAAAAATCCATCACTAATGTATCCCATAAAATTCTTCCAATAAAAACACACTGCATCTTATGAAGACTGAAGACATTCATAAAAAGGTGGTTTGTCTTACCAAAAGTGACCGTATCCATTACAGACCTACTGCGTCTTATAAAAACATAACATGACGTGACATACATCTAGGTAAGGGGACCTTGTCCCGTGTAATAGAGCTAACAAGGATTGCACGCATTGGAAGTTCATTAATTCTACTTTTCTCAGATAATGCAAGGTCCACAGTCTATCACTAACGAAAACAAGTTAAACAATGTTTATACAAACAGAAACAATATGAATATATTAACACTGTTGCAAAAGAGGACATGGTATTATTTTGATTTATATATATTCTTTATTCAACATGTGTTAGATGTAAGGTATTTTAACATATTGATTCTTATGACTTTAGCACTTTGTAACCTTATTGTTAAAGTTTAATTGTCCGGTGTTGTTCGGCCTTTATTGACTTTAATTGTCGTAGGTTGTAAAACAACACCAAGACAAAATAAAATCCGTTGTTTCATATTTAGATCTTCTGCATATACATGTAATGGTACAGTGTTGATAAGAAAGCATGCAAGGTTGGTGGTTTGTTCATACTTAACATTTTCATGAAGTCCTCATTTGAAAGACACTTTCATCCGATATTCAATCTTATTACCACAAACGACATTGACTAAATGTTGTTTGGAAGGACTATATACAATATTGACTAACTTACAAACCAGAAAACTATGTTCTGTTCAACGGTTTAGCTTCTAAGGTATAAAGTTTAAAGATATAATTCAGAATAGTATAGCAAACAAAGCGATTGTTGTTCGTTAGAGCATATACTCATTTATCTGCTACATTGCTTAGAAATTATAAACAGAATACAGGCGATTGTTGTAATGTTCAATCACTTTGACAATGAATTGATATTTCAATTTCGTTTTCTTCTTCAAATATTAGTAAATAAATGGAATGGCCAACAGTAATCAGTATTTGAAAGATACCTCATTACATGCTGTAGAACAAAAATCCTTTCAACGTTTCTGTTCAGATATATTTGTTTTTGGAGTAAACAAGTTAATTTCAATATCATAAAACAATAGCACCTGATAAAAGTCCTGGCTTGTACATTTGTTTCGGTTTATTATGTTTCAGACAGGGTATACCATACCTGGACAATGGAACTGTTCCAAGACGAGTTATGCACGATGACAAGTAGATATAACAATATGGACTACTGTTAGAGGTTACAAGATCGTGTGTTAGACAAAGTAATCTACTCAATACTGATGTAGTACGACTCTTACTGTAGCTTATACCCACCAGAATGATGATGAGGACGACACCGGCAGCTATCCCTATATACCAGTGTTGTGTGAGGAAGGATTTCAGGGTTTGGAACACTTCCCCGTCCAGTAGCAGTTTCTTCAGGGCCAGCAGGGGGCCCGTGGGGTCCACCTCAAAACCGAAACAATAATGAATAACATCGAACGAAGAAGAATAAATCATTGTTTTTTTTTCTACTTTCATGTTTGAATGTTGTGGATTGAGCTGTTTGGAATGCCTCCTCGTACCATCTTTTCGGATTAGTCCTGCCATAATCTAAAGAAACCTGACACGAGATTTGATCATAGACACCACTCGTGATCTCACAAACCTCTATAACATCACTATGAAGGAAGTATTTTACAAACACAACAAAAACTATCCTAAGGTCACCTAAACAACTTTTCTTAACCTGAAGTAATGCTGATTGTTTTGTTTTAATTGATTGTTAGTTATAGCATAAATATGATTACATTTTGTATTTTCTTTGCAGATTAAATAATGCAAAAGTAATGGTGTTTACTGAAAAAAATTAAATCTATATATTTTAAACCATTCGCTTCTATGTCATAGTGAGTTTTCAGCGGTTTAGAGTCGAGACACCGGTCATTTGCACTTTTTGCTTTTGCAAAGGAAACAGCTCGAAAATAAGTGTTCAATTCCTGTTCGTGTTTAAAACAAAGTTAGCCTTTGTCATTAATACTTTGAACATTTTTAAGCAATTGATATTTTTGCGAAATATTATCTTTATTTGGTTATGATTTTAATAGGAGTTGTATTTCTGCTTAAAGTATATATTGACCTGATCATTATCAATATAATCATTCTTGGTTACTTTACTGACTTAGGGCTAGAGACTCAACTTACATTTTTCGTATATGGCTGTATCGCTATTGGGTCAAAGCACTGCCGCTGACTAGGACACTCATTTGATTAGGGGGACATTATAACAATTTGAGGCCTAATGGGGTAACATTCTAGCCCAATTAATTTGGTCGCTAAGACTATTGTTGTTGATTATAATCTGTATATTTCATCTTAATAATTTTACAATAAATTTCTTACAAGGTATGGTTTTCTTTTCAGAAAGATTTATCAAACCTGTGGCCATGCAAAAAGAAAAAAACGATTTATGGCATATTCTATTTGTTTGCTCACTTTGGAACTCTGTCAGAAAGGCGGTACCTATCACAATTATTTAGTAAACATTTTATACAAGTGATTAAGCGACCCTATTTACAGAGGAAACCCTTACCTAATCTGACATATACAGACTCGAAGAGTTTAACCTTTTATCGGTGATAACAGGTATTTGGAACCGGACTTATATAATAAATAAAAAGGCTTATTTAAATTCATCTCAAATTTTGACTTTGATACTTTTAGTGGTGTATATTTTGTTAAGGGGAGTCGACTGGAACCTAAACCCTGACACTTCTTCATGTTGTGTTGGGAAATGTTATGTTTTAACTGTTAAAAGATATATTTTAAAACAAATCATCAAAACAATTTATTTTGACAGAATGAAAAAATCTCTTTTCATTTTGATTCGGTTCATGTGTCAAGAGAAGTTACTCTATTTTCTCTATGTTCATTTTCCTCCTGATGAGTAAGAAGGGAAGTAACTCCGTTGTTACTGACAGAAGACTAAGCTAATGACGTCGTATTTTTTAAGATTATGCCATCTGTAGTCCTATCAAATAAATAACTGCTAAGACCCTTTCAAAACATTTTTTGCAGTATATATCCTTTAAAAAGCAAATGATATGCGTCAAAATATGAAATAATTGCGTTGAGTTTTACAATTCACTTCAAGTCATATTCCGCTATAAACCTATTCATTAGGATAAAACTTGAAAAAATTAAATAACAAAAAAAAATCGGTGTTAGCATATTAAGATTAAAAATGGTAAGGATTAGAATCATGCCTTAATCTATCATATGTAAAAAACATCATATTTCTTTAGTAAATAAGAAGAATTATTTCGAAAAATGTGTTTAAACGTTTGTTAATTTAGCTGATGACGTGTGAAATATTTTGATCAATGTAACTAATATAAATTGGATATTATTAACCCTTTAACCACTGTTGACCATAATGGACTCATCCATATCAATGCATTGAAGAGTTTGCTAAAGTTACATAGGGGTGAAAGGGTTAACAACGCGGCCTGTGTGTGTGTAAAGTATACACCTCACAGGATGTACACATGTAGTACAGGACAACCTACCTCTCGGCACACGTAGAATACGTCGCAGTACCCCCTGTAGTTGTTGCATGCACTCCCCGCCAAAGCATTTGTGGTGGGAATAGTAGGGATATTAGTGGTTGGTCTGAAAGAAGACATATATACATAAATGTATATACATGTATTAAATGTACCGATAAAATATCTTGTACAACCAACATTGGTATTATTTGTGTTTTTAGAAACAACATTCCATTGTAAACAGTATAAATCAATATTTATTTAGATTACAGCAATTCTCTAAAGGGTAATTGATGAAACATTATTCTTATTTAAACACTTAAGTGGGATAAACACATTGCCATCTGCATTTTCATCTAATCAATGTGCTTTGCGCCTCAAGACAGAATTTTAGATACAGGAGACCTAATAAATGTGTTAGGAATAATTATACGCAATGTGTTACGTACGTGCAGACGGAATTGTATGTACAGCAGACCTGGCATAGCTTTTCGTCCTTCCAGTCGTTTGCCGTGGTTGGGCTACACTGACAGGCCTCCAGGCTGTGGGCGATACATACGGAGCCGGAACATTCCTACAACACAACATCCGGGATATTACAACACAACATCCGGTATATTACAACACAACATCCGGGATAGTACAACAGGTCAGTGGGATATTACAACACATAATCCTGGAAAATGTAATATTACACAACACCCGGGGTAATACAACATCCGGTTTATTACAACACAACATTTGGGATATTACAACACAGTATCCTGGAAATATGCAAGACCACACACTTGTGTTTTTCTAACGAATCAGAAAGCATGAGTTTATTGCGCGGACGAATATATATTCACGAGTGCGCGGAGCGCACTAGTTAATATATACTTCCACGCAATAAATGAGTGCTTTCTGATTCGTTAAAAAAACACAAGTGTGTGGTCCTGCTTTTATCACATTCCTTCCGTATTTGGCAGTGATCGATACAAAGATTTTATAAACTTTGATATTTTTTGCAAATACCCGAAACTTTTTAGTTCGCCATGACAATGGGGATTCCCATAAAAAGTAGTTCCGGCTAGTAGGTAAATACAACATTCCGTATTGCACATGTGCAATACAGAACGTTGTATTTCATGGTCTGAAAATTGCTTGTATTACTATAACAAGATTCAACAGATATGTGATAAAATATAATACAACACAACACTCGGGGTAATACAACATCTGGGATATTACAACACAGAATCCTGGAAAATATAATACAACACAACATCTCAAGTAATGCAACACAATATGCGGGATAAAATAACACCATATATTAGATAATACAACAAAGCATTAGGTATAATACCTTTCGAGTATAAACAACATGTTTTTACTATAAACCTCATTACATAAGTGTATTCCAATTTCTAGCCATTTAATAGCCATCAACATTATGCAGGAATATTAAGCTGTCACCATAATTCACAGCACTTACGAATTGTCACGAAAAGGGAAAATATGTCCTACCGCTAACATTGGACCTTTTATGGTGTACATTGTTATAGTGCGTTGTCTACTATGTTCTTACCCCTAAATAGCACACCTGACCTTCAGCGCACTGCGTTCCGTTGGCAGCGGAAGTGGAGGCTGGACAACTCGTAGATGATCCGGTAATAACGGTTAAGGAAAGTCATAGGTATTATTATGTGTTTAATAATCGTAATAATCAATCAAAACTCTTAAGAAAACTGAAACCCATGTTGAGGAAAGTCTTTACCATTATTTTATTGTAATGTTCTATTATACTATAAGTCAAGGATATTCACAGAGCGCCTCAGCGAGACAGGAGCTGTTAGCTCGACAAATATGATTTTCTCCGGATGTATACAGTGTGCATGAGGGACTACAGCAGGGACCCTCACTTGGACTGAAACACAATATAACAACAATTAGGCTACCTTGGATACAGCTTATTGGAATGTACAATATTAATTCGTTGAGAACAATGATGAAGTATCTAGAAACCGAAGTACAACATTATCAACATGTACTTATTCCTGGTAATGGACAAATTGCACAATTGACATTTGCTTCAAATTTGGATGAGTGTCTCTAAGGCCCTTTTTTGGGCTCCGGTATATTCGGATTTTTAGCTCCCTATTTTGTTCAAAGATGTCCTAATGTATGACATGCGGAAAAACTAAGGTAAAACTTTGACCGAAAGTGAGTTTCTGGGGGTACCAAAAGGGGTATAGTTTCATACTTATCCCACAATGTCTTTTTTGACTTAAAAACACCTTTTCCTGTGATTTGGAGTACAAGGACCAAAGTGCATCTCAAAACTATTCTATATGAAATGATATGAGTAGCAGCTAGCATTGAGTGTAAAAAATTAACCGTATGAAATCAGCAAAATGATTAACTGTTAATTGCAAGCATTAACTTGAACGAACAACTTAGTCTCTCTTTGCGTTTTCAAAGCATAAACTATCTGACTTTAGGTCAGTGTAGCATGTCAAGCGCCCCTCTTACTACTATAAACACTCTACTGAGCCTGTTTAATCCACATACATTCATAAAGACTAGTATTGGCAGGAAATATTTGGTTTTAGGCAAGGAGATGAACTTTGGTCATTGTACTCCAAATCACAGGAAAAGGTGTTTTTAAGTAAAAGGCATTGTGGGATAAGTATGAAACTTTTACAAATTAAATATCATCCTATAACTAATATATATGCAAAGTAACATGCTTATCCTTTTAACGCAAATGCCTTTTATATACAATCAGCGGATACACATTGGAAATAGGCAGAACATTTGATAAAACAATGAAATCGGTTAACTTTAACGATTAAAGCAGATACTTTCCTTGAGGCTAGGAGACTTACCAAAATTACCAGCAAATTAAACTTCATATATTAAATCAATCATTTTACAGTAGTTGTGGTGGCAAATGCCATTTTTGATTTGTAAGTGAACTTTGTTAAGTAAAAAAACAAATCAGGACCTGGAACTCACTTAAACCACAGGTGTTGAGCAAATATTATATGATATATATAATATACAATATTAACAATTGATATCTTATAATTAAAGCATATAAAGAGTGTCCTGCCCTAATTCACGTAAGATTGAGAGATATTTGAAATAGCCAAGTTTGATATGTGTCCAGAAGCAATAACTCAGTATAAAACAGAAGGAAAGTATGTAGTCAATACGCAATTTATGTAAGTCTACTTAAATGGGTAAAGTTGTAAAATTCAAGTCAAAATATTAATTAGAAAGGAAATTATTGAGAAATCAAAACACTTTTCATTTGGAAATTACCCAAAACAACGTCTTTATCCTTCGTTTTATATATACAAACTTTAAGTGACGATTGAATTATTGTCAATTTTCATTCTCGTACATTTGCTTGTCTAATTTAAACATGTTTTCAAAAACATAAATGGTATTATTTTGGTTTTTGAGCTCATTTTGAAAACAGAAAGCCATATTTGTGATTTACCCTACCCCTTTTGGTACTCCCAGAAACCCACTTTCGGTCAAAGTTTTACCTTAGCTTTTCCGCATGTCATACAATAGGACATCTTTGAACAAAAGAAGGAGGTGAAAATCCGATTATACCGGGGCCTAAAAAAGGACCATATAGACACTCATCCTTTACTTAACACAAAAGGACAAAACGTTTTATAGCGTCATCACTCAAAAATTATCATAGTGTCAATACACAAAGACAAAAATATACCACAGCGTCAAGCACAAGGGCAAAATATAACACAGCGTCAACACACAAAGGCAAAAATATACCACAATTTCGAAACTAAAAAAAAAGATATTACATAGAGGTGAAAAACAGGAATCGATATAACACCAAAGCGAATGGAAAAACATCATTAAGCCCCACAAAAGAATGAAAAGACACCATGTGTTCCAGTTAGATAATATTCACAGTGTTTTCACTGGTGGTTGACTGTGAAGGAATAGTCTGCTGAATGTTCACATAAAATAGTGGTGACCTACACACATTCTGAAATATACAATGTAGCTGGTGGCAAGTTGATGAATATCAGGTTACTTCGGTCGGTAACCGGATTTTATGAGAACACTGATTCAATAACAAAATGATCAGACTAAAACAGACATGAAGTGAAAGCTTGTTATACCTGCACGAGGAAGATGACACGTTGACCTTGGTACAGGGCGTGGCTGTCGGACTGGCAGCCTGTGGGTTACAGCACGTCTCAGTACAAGTGTCCTCCCAGCCACAATCGCACTCTTCGCCAGCTTCAATGACGTTATTTCCACATATAGGTGCACCCGACGCTGTCAACAGGTATCAACGCTACGTCATAATCAGGAAAGTATATTTGTATGGTATCTACAGTTATAATGTACAATAATTAACAATGTATGGCCTGAAGCGGCACTGCCGACAACTAAAAATAACATTGAACAATGATATGTAGATATCATGATTCAAAAGTAGAGAATAATATAGACATATGTAATACAACTTGTGCTTTACTGTATTCCAGATTGTCCCATCATTTGTGACTTAAAAAATAAGTAATCAAAATAGACGAGTTCTTATCTATGATGGAACAATCTTGATTTAAATGCAGTCCCAGCTAAACAGTTATGTCAACAAATGTTTACGATGCATCAGCAGCCGCTTTATGAAATTTTCCTTTAGAAACCCCGGCATATAGTAGACAAACACAAATTTATGATAGCCGCCATCATCTGTCTATTTACAATCAGCCACTACTACTCGGGGATCCACCCGCACAAGACCTGCTTGGCAAGACTCCGGATACTATGATATGTCTACCATAGAGGTGTCAGAAAAATCCTCAATATAAAGACTATTTAGTGACTTAGTCTCCAGTGTTTGACAGAACAGTTTAAACAATATTAATTATGTACCTTATAATCAGTCCTTGTTAAAGTTACTTCAGTTTGTTTATATAGCTACTTCAGTAAATACATACCAAAGACTTAGAGATAGAGAACAATATAGACATGTTTAATACAACTTGTGCTTTACTGTATTTCAAATTGTCCCGTAATTTGTGACTTACAAATAAAGTGATAAAAATAGAACAGATAGTTTTACAATTAGTTTATTATGACAAAAACTATAAATGCAAACAAAGAAAACGCACAAACAAAAAACACATACTATCCACATAGCGCGATTTTCAATTGATGAAATGATAACGATTGTCGTTTTCAAAGTTAAATTTTAAAATCGGTGTGTTCCTATATAAATAATTTATTTTGAATTATATCGATCTACCTTTGAAACATCCATTTGTCGCATCCCGCGCTCTAGATTCCAGAATTGGCGCCATGTAAGCCACACTGCACGTGGAGAACTTCTGGTTGTTTACCTCATAGCCTGATGTTGCCATTGGAAACATGATGAAGTTTCCCCCATTTCCGGTTCCCGGAGAACAGGTACCTGCAGTTTCTGGGTCGTGCTTTGCAAAATTGAGTAAATACACCTCATACACGATTTATCAGCCAAACTTATACAAAATTTTACATCCAGGACTATCTATTGATAACAAACATAATGTCGTGACGGGTACCACAATCAATGAAGGAGACGTGTGTTTTACCACTGTGTATGTGTGTGTGTCCTCTATATCTACTGAGCAGTGTTTTACATCTGTTCTTTAATATCGATTTCCCTGCATTAATTAGGTTAATTTGTGGTCTCCATTTAGCTGGTATATATATTTGTTTTATTACTATTAACATTCTAAATATATTTCCTGTATCAGGATTTCTCGGAGATCAAAATCGATTTTATTAAACAATATTTAGCTGAATTAAAAAGATTTAATAAATACCTCTGGTGTATCAGTTCGTTTTTTTACTGTTTACCTGAATAATAAATGTGTATTCCCTATCTTCAGAATCTTTATTTAGCTGGTACACTTATAGGAATTTGTTTTTATTACTTTTCACTTGATTTTTGACCTGATTTATATCGCTGTTATCTCTATTAGACCCTAAGAAATATTTATTGAATGGGTTAGGGTAAAGCTGTGAAATACATATGTTATTGTGTAGAAATTTGAATATGTCCCGTGTTACCGTTCATCTATATTCTAGAGCTTTGGTCTGTAGCATCATTTACTAGATACCATAAGATTTACTCTAAACTATTACAAGCTTAATGACAGTTTAACGTTACTTTCACTGCTGAACTTTTGATTAATGTTATGACTTTGATTCAACAAATTTGTCCCCTCTTCTTTCCTCAGCAGTAACAAAGATGCCCCTCATGCTGACACAGTTTATTTGTTTATCCACAATTCTAAAGCCTAGGCCAAGATGACTTGTTTTCTGATAGCCAAGTCTTGTTGATCAATTGTCTTCATACTCTATACCATCAATCTAGGTTACAGTTTGCATCATATCTTTACAAGAAAAAGTGTAAGTGCTAACTAAATAGTTTCCACGTTATAACTCACCTGAGATCCAAAGTTGTGTCCTATTTCATGAGCCAGGGTAGCATGTGAGACCGCTGAGGACACGTCCCGTCCGTAGTTCAGCATTGTTACCAGGGCCGTATTAAGACTTTTAGACTCTCCATGATATGTCTGGAATATAGATAGCTTTTTGTTACGCTTTACACTGTATAATTAGTAATTGGCGTGGTGTGGTATGGGTCGAGGACTGTTTTACTACAATTCGCTCTACAAGTTAACATACTATTAACGACGGAGAAAAACAGTCGGTCAGCTTACCCTGTATCCTTCACAGACTCCACCGGCGTAACCTGTCTGAGCTGTCCAGGCAAGACCAAGGACACCGTTACTGAAGTCCCTGTTGGTGAAGAGGATAGCCAGACAGTAATCGGTGTAGTTCTCCCGTGAGTGTAGGTCTAACATGCTGTCTACACTGTACTGGAGAGGGAAGGGATACCCCGTCGCTGTCGGGTCGTTGTATATCGTCACCCGCTTTATCTGGAACGTAATGCTGTCGGCAGACCCATCACCGTCAAAGTCTGAAAGAGAAATATTCACTGATATTGTTTGCTTTGCTTTATCATTACATACTATTATACATTCTTTTAAATAAACATGTTCACCATTTATTGAAAGGCGAACTCCGTGGTTTAACCTGTACCCCATATGCATATCCTGTGTGCATACGAAAATAAAATTATTATATTCCAGAATTTTAGAAAAAAAAATATGAATCATAAACAAAGTCGTATTCCATAACGTCAATAGTTGTAATCGAAGACTGGCCATGCATGTCTTGTTGAATATGAATACACTTGAATAGGGATAACTGAGTATTTGGAAAGTGTATCAGTAGAGTACTATATACACAGAACACAGTGTAAACATTAATCACCATTCACGTGTCCTTCAGGGTTCCTGCAGCGGAAGATTGACGAAGCCGACTATGGACAGCTTGTAAGATCGCCATCATGATCCCATAAGGAATTTTGATACTTCTTTGTGTTATGTGAAGGCCAATGTTTTTAATTCTGCTCATTATTTTCTCGTTTTGTTGTCGATGCCCGAGTTCTCGGCAAGAGGACCTGGCATTGCTAGGATTTGACCTTTTATATTGCAGATATGGTCGATGAAGCAGAAGACTCGTACCATTTAGCATTATCCTCCTAGTACTTTTTCTGTACACTATTTCTTTCTTTCTTTCTTTTAAGTCCAAAATACATAACTTTGTCCTAAAAAGTGGTTTTGACTTTCAAAAGTGTTTATATAACTTCCTGGTATTTGGTTTTTTAAACATATTTGTATAAAGTCTACTGTATGACACACTATATTTTAGTTATTAAAACTAACAACAACAAAAATCCTTTTTGTACTTCAATATTTTTCCTGCCAACCAAATAATCATGAATAGTAAAGTGATGTTTTACCAATTTCAAAATAATCACCTGAATTTGAATATGTAAATGATCAATCTTGTTTGGGCTTGATGTATATTTCATTTTTTCGCATAATGTACTGTGTTATCCAGTGAATATATCCATGTCATACTAACCTTTGTAATATGACCTTTCGGCCCTGTGATTGGTTGTAAGTTTCAATTGTGACGTCACGTAACAGACTTACGCACTGATCAAGGTTACATGGAAATTGTCGTTTTAATCGAATAAATGCCACAGATTATGTGATAAAAAGGATCTTACGTTCGTTTTCATTTCATATGGAATTTATGAAATTCGTGAGGCTTGCAAAATTGAAAAATTCTAAGACTCGTTTCATAAATCTCATATGAAATGGAAACTCATGTAAGATCTTATATCTCACCTATCAGGCTGAATATGTCATTCGAAGCTTGCACGTGATTGGTCATCTGGTCCAAGACGGCGTCGTGAGTGACAAATTTATTAAAGAAAGTGTGGTCGGCCTTTAAGTACAGCTCACAAACCGTCTTCGTTGGGTCGATGGCGCGCCGTTGTCGATTTGATGACTTGTACCGGTCTGACCACTTCTCTGTCGGCCGATGACGCTGTCCATCTATTTCATCTAATATCTGGTGTTTCATTATCTTCCGATGGAGTTCGTCAGACTTGCACATCATGTCACGGGTGTTTACCGACATATCCGACGATCTGAGACATTAGTAACAAAAAAGCAGCATAAGAACAAGGCAAGGAGACAAATACTCAATTTATAACTAAGGATTGAACTACGAGCCTTTGTTTTGCTCACAATTACGATACTGTAAAGCAAGATTTCGATTCAAACACAATTTATGTACAAAACAACGAAGAAACATAAGAATGTGTCTTTCCATTTGATTTCTGTCGGCTCTTTTTCAGAAACAGTTTTACTGAATGGAACATGGCCATGTTTTGCGAGAAGAAGTCGTCGTGTTTTACCAGTCGAAAGAGCAAGAAAACCATACAGGAATTTTCTTTACGATATTAATTTGCCCTCACGAAATGTCTGGTTCCTGATTACCAGTTTACGACTAGAGAAAATTCAGCTGTAATGGCACTTACTGATATTGGTATAAAACGACATTTGTGACGGCTACGTTTATTTAAGGATTAGAAAACGGAAACGTAAAGTCTGGTACTAAATAAAACGATTGGTTCAAAATGGTCTTGGTGAGTTCTGTGGCAAGATTTGTTTTTCAGACTGTTGGCTAGCTAGCTAGCCAACTTGTTTAAAATTATATATGTGGCTGCTTTTATGGCAGTATTAATGACCTAGCGCATATTCCCGTTTGAATTTGAAATATAGTACACTTCAGTCTCGCCTATGTCTGTTTTGTGCGATCGTGCCTTTTCTTTTATTTGATAGTAACAACACTGCGGCTCCCAAATATTGTTTTGCAGGTCACAGTCAATTCGATACTCGCGTGCTTGCTCTAAATATTATAGTTTCTGTGATAGATATCTATAGTTGACGGACAGACTTGAAAAGGATTGCGATAGTTGGAGGTTGATAGGCAAGTTTAATGGTCGCCATCACTCGACGTTTGTGATTATGCTAATTAGTCCGACTTAATATTTCCTTTCCACTATTCCTGTTCTCACTTTGACCTTGATACATCACAAGCATTTGATTTAAATTGACTTGGGCAAATTTCGTCGATTAAGCAAATGTCGCTTACCCCTTCCGGAACATCTAGTCCTATTTTTGAACTTTACAGGATCTCCATTTGAAATGTTTTCTGGTGTTTTATTTTATTTTAAGGCGAATTATGGTTTTGTTCATACTTAAGCATATTCATGTCGTTTTGTAGAAATTTCACTTATAAAGGATGCCAACAATGTTAATGCTATTATGTTTGTCTAGTATTGATAAGATGTCATGCCAACTAAGTCCGTTCGTACTTTTTTACATAATAAAATGCTCAACAAGATTTAAATGCATTTTGATAAATGCATTATACCTGTATATAACAGAGCTGAAATTTGTGTCTTTTTTAAAGTGTCGTCTGGCAGCTTCAATATTGTACGTCTCGTTAGGATACAGGAGATGTCCCTCAAAGTGACCAGCTGATGTTATCACTCCATAAATTCTGCTACCAGTGTCGTCTGTGAAAAGATATTATACCATCCTTAAACCACAGTAATTGATCTACTATGTTCTCAGAAAGGTAGTATACCGGACATTTCAAAACCAGCCCGAGGATTTCAGGTCAAATAAGCAATGATAATGAGCAAGAAACATAGTAATAGGAACGATGATTGTAGCAATCGTTGATGCATGAAGCTGTATATTATTGATAACTGTTACTAAAAACATACTCATAGCTTATAATGACGTTTTAAATTCATAAGTGAAGGTGTCAGTCTATGTGCAACTATATACTAATACCTGAAGCTGTATATAATAAATAAAGATATATATTAATAGGCGTGATTATATATTTAAAAATTCAACTTCAGGTGTAACCTTTAGCTAGGTGAACGACATATATGTACATGTAACTATGTAATGAAACATGTAGTTATAAGTAATTGTTTAATCTCATTTTGATAAATGTAATAATATATTAAAAAACGTAACCATTACTTGATAGGTCTAACCATTTACTCAATATTGATATATGTACATGCATGTGGAATTGGTTACATTTAACCATTGAACTGTTACCAGATGCAGTAACGGGCGACATTCTATTTATCTGTCACCAAAATTGCATTCATATCGACTATATACTGCATCTGGTAACAGTTCAATGCTTATATTTACATTTATATAGTTAGTTTTGTATAGTAACTGACGACGTTCACAGGGGCTCGGTTTCGTGATGTTGAGTAATGGATGACATCACTGAAGAACCACAACACGTAAAAAGGTATTTTTACACATTCTAAAACCTTGTCGATACCCCCGATTAGTGTTTTGGTTATTCCCTGATGTTATGCATACCTCAGAATCTCGAAACCGAGCCCCTGTGTGATGACGTTGACAAACTTGGTAATTTCGTATCTAGAATGGCGCTTACAATAATTGTGTGGTACCTACACATCTAATTATAAATTTATATTGTCAAGTTGCTTTATTTTTTTGCGATGACCTACATTGCTAAATGCTAACGAAGCCAGAAAGTTCTCTGACTATAGGCCTATTGATACCGAAAGTATCTTTGACCATGTATATCCTACACTGACCGAAGCACTGTACATTACAGTATACAGTCTCATATACTGGAATTTGGTTTACTTACGACATATAGGCAAATGCAACACAGAATGTAAATATATTCTTTTATAACGAGATTTCTGCTGTATTTACAATTATGTCGTTTATTCTTTACCACATATACATTTCTCTAGATAATCAAATAAATATAATAACAACCACAAACCTTCATCTGATCCGGTATAGGCACCGGAAGTGTCGTAAGTTATACTTCCTGTGGAACTCTCGAACACGACGTCTGATGTGAACAGGTGATTATTTGGGCGAAGCTTCAGGCGAAAGTCCCTGGAAGTGAAACATCGGAGATTCATTCTAGTTCAAACTTAATAACTGTGGATGTGTGGCTTATTATTGTACTGATACGTCACAGAATATTATACAGACGGGACGTATAAATCAATCACAAATTATCCGATTGATCAACTATTCATTTATCACCAATGTGGTTACACTAATATCCAGCCACCACTTACCTAGTTGTCCTACCAATGAAGCAGTATTGTAGGGGACCTATTAGAACATTTCTATATGCAATTTTTTCTCTCTCGAAAATCCGGACATTTCCAAACAAACCATTATAACCACCCAAGTCCAATAAATGTAGACTGGGGCAGATATATTGCGGCTGGGGCTATATAATTGACAATACATTTTAACTGAACGTGGACGAGGATTACTTTCATCAAGATTGTACCGAGATACCAACAATTTATATGATTTACGGTGCTTAAATTTTGCACATAAATAATTTCTTCCATGCTTATTAGGTAGCGGACGGTTCAGACACTCTCACACTCTCTACCTGTTAAAAGCTCGGAAAGTTAGCCTCAGTCCTTCGTCCGTCCCTCGCCGTACTCGGTGGTGATCCGATAACAAGGTATGGCTGTCAAAATGGACCGGCTCATAATATCGGATCACATCGTTCAGGGATAGAGCTGCTGGAACACAATATGTGATCAATTAGTTAAATGAAGTGGTTCTTTGTTTGATAGTGCATTGATGCCAAACCTATATACAATATACCAGGTACATTTAAATTAACAAAATAATATTTAATTGACTGAGAGTAAATGAAAGAAATGTTGATATTCAATTGATATTTTCCGTTTGTTCGGCACTTTGGATATGCAAATATAATTGCTGTCAGTGCATCGGCCATCGAATTAACTGGCTTTTGTCAGAAAAGGTTAAGTGCATATTCTATTAGAGTTACGGGATGCTGGCTCTATTTCATGCCTACAGTGTAATTGCACTTGATTATTATTTGATATTGCAGTTTTAGTGTCCCCCGTTACAACAGATCCCAACCAGGCCTTTGAGCTAGGCACACGTCTTTGTTAACCCTTAAGGTATATTACCAGATGTACTACAACATTGGTCTATATTGTTTATATCCGAGAGACTTTGAGGATATCAAACGTGATAATAACATTTATGAAATATTCAGATGATATCACACTCATATTTATTGAACATAGGCGATTTCTGTTGATTTTCAGGTGTAACTGATCCAAATAATTTCAGTAAAAAAGATTAGCCCCAGCTATCCCAGCAACTGACTTTCTTACTTGAACTTTATTTATTTTACAACTGTCATGGAAAAAAAATCTTTTTACTAGGTATTCGTGGAAAACAACGTGGTCTGACAGATGACCCAATATTTGTTTTATTTCTCTGCGATCGAGGAGTCCATCCCCGACCATCTTGATGAAAGACGAGTGCGTTTACCACTGCACCATCCGACCACACCTACTTTGCTCTGACTCGGTAATAAACACCATCCGACCACACTTGCCTTGTTCTGACTCGGTAATAAACACCATCCGACCACACTTGCCTTGTTCTGACTCGGTAATAAACACCATCCGACCCCACCTGCCTTGTTCTGACTCGGTAATAAACCCCATCCGACCACACTTGCCTTGTTCTGACTCGGTAATAAACCCCATCCGACCACACTTGCCTTGTTCTGACTCGGTAATAAACACCATACAACCACACCTGCCTTGTTCTGACTCGGTAATAACCACCATCCGACCACACCTGCCTTGTTCTGACTGGGTAATAAACACCATCCGACCACACCTGCCTTGCTCTGACTCGGTAATAAACACCATCCGACCACCCCTGCCTTGTTCTGACTCGGTAATAAACCCCATCCGACCACACCTGCCTTGTTCTGACTCGGTAATAAATACCATCCGACCACACCTGCCTTGTTCTGACTGGGTAATAAACACCATCCGACCACACCTGCCTTGCTCTGACTCGGTAATAAACACCATCCGACCACACATGCCTTGTTCTGCCTCGGTTATAAACACCATCGGACCACACCTGCCTTGTTCTGACTCGGTAATAAACGCCATCTGCCCACACCTGCCTTGTTCTGACTCGGTAATAACCACCATCCGACCACACTTGCCTTGTTCTGACTCGGTAATAAACACCATCTGACCCCACCTGCCTTGTTCTGACTCGGTAATAAATACCATCCGACCACACCTGCCTTGTTCTGACTAGGTAATAAACACCATCCAACCACACCTGCCTTGTTCTGACTCGGTTATAAATACCATCCGACCACACCTGCCTTGTTCTGACTCGGTAATAAACACCATCCGACCACACCTGCCTGGTTCTGACTCGGTAATAAACACCATCCCACCACACCTGCCTTGTCCTGACTCGGTAATAAACACCATCCGCCCACCCCTGCCTTGTTCTGACTCGGTAATAATCCCCATCCGACCACACCTGCCTTGTTCTGACGCGGTAATAAACACCATCCGACCACACCTGCCTTGTTCTGGCTCGGTAATAAACACCATCCGACCACCCCTGTCTTGTTCTGACTCGGTAATAAACACCATCCGACCACAGCTGCCTTGTTTTGACTCGGTAATTAACACCATCCGACCACACCTGCCTTGTTCTGACTCGGTAATATACTAGTCAATCTAAGCTCTAGAGTTGATACAGTCAGATACATTACAGTATACCGTGCCTTATATCCATACATAATAATACAGACGTCTGGAAATGCTTTTAAACATAACATGACAGTGTGCATACTTGTATTATACAAGCCCTATCATAATTATATACAACGACACATTTGTCACAGTATATATAGGATGCATACAATGTAACAATTTGTTCTTAATTAATTGAATGCACTTTTGTAGAGATGTTTTCGTGAATAATGTCTGATATGTTCACAAGAACTTGTTTTACATATATATAATATGTATATGTAATAAAATGATATACTAATGATTTTGAATATGAAATGCTTTATCACTTTCTAGATATGAATAAGAAGCATTGATGACAATCAAGATAGTTTGTGTGAATGTTATTACTGTCCCCTAGCCGTAATTTCACCATTAGTTTTAAGGAATGGAAGGTACACAGATATTTAAACCTTACTGTTTATATTACATTGTACGGAATGGCGAGTCACCATGTAGCCACAGTACCGTGTCTTTACTGTAGAATGATCCAATTCAGGGAGTAAATAGCCAATGCGATGACTACCTTTTGTTATATGACCAGCATGAATCAATTTCATGCCATGCTTGTTTAGCATGTAAGCAAGAAACAATTACCATAATTCGTTTTTAACTTCAAAGGGCAGACGGGTCCCATCGTGACCGGACGTTTCATGCTTTGAAATAAAGGACACGGCCAGTCGTTAACATCATAGCTAAGTCGCTGTTATGTCTATACCGATCATATTGTTGTCCTTTATATCGACTGTCAGTTCGGGTCGTTATACATTCCTTATTGGTCACATGTTTGCCTGACCTGCCTTAAATTCCTCTATGTAATCGATTATATTTTATTCAGTTTTCATACGGATGAAGGAAGCAAAAATTAACACTTCCTCGTCGAGTCAACATGTTTAGGTAAATAGTGTTTTTAATAATACGTTTTATCGCTAACAATGCCCCTTTAGACTATCTTGTTGACTGGATATATTGTTTGTCTGGATAGCAAAACTCTATGTAAATCACAAACTATTCTAAATAAGGCAATCCTGCAGAGGGTGTTAACTGGAAAATATTGAAAGGATTAGCCAAATCCATTATGCAAAAACTGTATGTATACGATATATGTATACGAAACGCCACAGCTTTATCACCCAAGCAAAGCGTTAAACGTTGGAATATGAAATGTACATGTAAGTTGACTTGTAAAGACAGGACCAACACACTATAATGAAATAAACAACACATCTACATAATACAACTGAAGATGAATCATAATGTTATTTAGTGGTTCCCACCAAAGCATTTGTAAGAAGAAGACCCACCATCATTACGTCATTTCCGGCAATGTACCCGGCAATGAACGGGTTAAAAAAAGTAACACCACTGTATTATTTAAATGATAATATACGCGTTTCTCTAACTTTTATGTTATACATTAGACTTAACCCTCGTCAGGACGAGTACTTTGATGTATTATAGTAATTCCTATACGCGTAATGACTTATTGACTTATTTGTATGTTGTCATGGTAACACTATCAACAATGTTTGATATAGTCCTCTAAATAATTTACAGCTGAAATGTGACAAAAACAGATAACGATTATATCCCTGTTTGTTATCACAGACAAAGGGTGATAGTCACACAATCTCTTATTCTCATGGAAATTTAAGAAGGTTTATCTAGTAAATACAAGGTACATACGTATTCATTTCAATCAAACATCCAATCAGGAAAAACATGTCCATTACTATGGATATGTTGTCTAAAATCATCGCGTTCCCTCGTGTATATGGCATCTAGTTTGTATATGAAACATGCTGCGGATGAAGAAATGCAAAGATAAACAATTATATATGACAACTTTTAAATTATAAATGAAGAGTATTTTCGTACGATATGAGTTATCTAGGGCAGAAGTCATTCACGTGTAGCAGATTGCTAATCAGATATCCTTATATACCCGGATGTTATCATGTGACACAGACAGGGCATTGCTGTATATATATTTAATGGATGTTTTAACACAGAGCCTGAACACAACCAGAAATTATTGATTGCATTTACTTCTTGTAACATTCAGTATTCAAACTATTTTGACACATTTAATCGATACTATTGTTAGTGTATGAACTATAAGTTGACACACTGTTTGATGACGTCACATATGTAAACTCTATTCATGCATCGATTTTAAACTTCCTTTTTGAGGAGAAAACGAAAGGATATCGATTATATAAAATACAATAAATAAATAAAAACGGGTGTCTGATTGTACTCATTATCATAAACTTATTACAACAACACTGATATCTGAATATTTATTAACCGCTAATAAGTTTCTCAAAAATTAGTTTGTCGATACAGAATCAAAACACGGTAAACAAACGTACAACATTATACGACCATTTTGTCTATTTACGAAATGTCCAAAGAATAATAACACGTGTCTTAAGTGCTAAATGTAGAGATATATTGTTTTAACTATATGCTACTTTTTTTTTCTTTTTTTGTGTGACAGTATGACGTTATTCCATCAACAAGTTTTTTGTTATGAATAATAAAACTGTAGTCCCCTACAATAAGACCAAAGGCACCAAAATGTGCAACGGAAAGGAAGATGTTAATCTCAAACGAACTAAGAAATCATTATTCTTATTTCTAGATCCTTTTTGATATTATCTAATAAGTTGTTTGTCGTATTTCATAAAATTTATATTAAATTAAAAAAATTACCATGGTGAAAACTAACATAGGTCGTGATCATCACTAACTAAATTCTTAAGTTCGACAGATCATCTTATTTTGAACGAAGAATATTTCGGACTTAATTCTTACACAGCTAAAACATCAACGATAAGCTTGACAAATCACACATATAACCTAGGCCTAAATATGATGACACAATTGAACTACAATTCAAACATTATGGTAACGTCACT